CTGCTGGTGCAAGTCAAGTGCTGGTGGTGATAGCATTTAATATGAGTACGCTTTAGGCGTTCTATTTCTGTGTACTTTAAAATATGCAGAGCTTACTTGCTTTTGATATTTTTGCTTTTGTAACCTGAATATGAGTTGCTCAAAATCTGCTTCATTTTGTCATTTGTTAAAATTTTACACGATAAAAAACTCTAGAACTGAGCTTTTTAGTATTTTTTTTTTGTTAAATTAGTTTTCAAATGTTTTTATAATTCTTTCACCTGATATACTACTACTTCAACTTGTTTTTCACCGCTTCTTTCGTTTCGCGGAATTTTCTTGCTTCAAAATTTTTTTCTGTTACGTTCTTCCTTTGTTCCTTCAGGTGATAACTAAATCAATTGAATTCTAAAACATGACATCTGCTTCTACATCTGACATTTTTCAATTTAAAATAACTTTGAAGGGGGCCCAACCTCTCATATGGCGTCGTATTCAAATTTCTAAAAATGCGACTTTCGAAAAATTCCATTTGGCTGTAAATAAATCCATGGGTTGGAATGAATCGCATGTGCACGAATTCCGTTTAAAGACTAAGACTGATGTCATTGGCCCTAAAGATAGAAGTTGTTTTATTGACGCTATGTGTTGGGATAACGTACTTGGAAAACGAAATATCCTGGATGAATCTAAGATTAAGATATCTACTCATTTTAATAAGCCGAAGGACTCGATGGTGTACGTGTATGATCTGGGTGATAGATGGACACATAGCATTGTTTTAGAAGAAATCCTGCAATCTCTTCCTAAGAAAAAATATCCTGTTTGTCTGGATGGCAGAAGAGCTTGTCCTCCTGACGATTGCGGTGGAGAACCTGGTTTTAAAGATCTGCTTGAAATTTTGTCTAATCCTCGCCACCCTGAATTTAAAGAAAAGAAGGAATGGTTATGTTATATTGGTAAAAGAAATTGGAAACCTGAAGTTTTTGATGTTAAGTCTGTCAAATCGTGAAGAAATGTAGATTGAGGTATCTTACTGATGTGATATAAGAGACTAATAATTATTTTAGCTCCAAATTAATAATTATTGCAACTTTAAACAAAATAAGAACATTTTGTTTCTTTAGTGAGATTATGTCTTTCTTTAAAATGTAACTTTTATATTATGTAATAAATAAATTTATTAACTGTGCATATATGTAAGTTTTTATTCTTTTGGTAATGTCTTGTATGATTAGGATTGAGGTTTTTTTATTGTTGGCAGGGGTGTCAAGTTGCACTTTGTAAAAAGAAATAACATTCTCTATTTAACATTATCAACAAACTGATATTTCATAGAAAATTTTTGAGTTTAAGCTCTATTATACATATTATCCAATAATCTAAAAGAAAGTTTAGCTTGCTAGAAACGCATTTTATAAAATGTAAAGCTACTACTAATTCTATCATTACTCACAGGGTTGGGTTTTTGACGTCAAAAACTGGTTTTTGACATGACAGTGGTAAAAACCGTGTTTTTACCGGTAAAAACTGTCAAAAACCTACTGTTTTCTTTAAACTATGGCATATAGCAGGCAATATATTATTTTCACATAATTGCCTTTATAAATAAATGATGTAAATGATTGCTATTGATTTTGCAACTATATACATGTATTCTTATAGAAGGATATACATTCATATAGAAATATTGTAATATACTTATTGAAAATAGTGATATTTACTTTTATCATTATAACTTGATTTGCAAAGGATTCAAAATTTTGCACTTTTTAATTGTTAGAAATAAACAAACAAACAAAAAAGCTTGGAACTATTAATAAATTCAAGAACTCAGAAGAAGAATTTAAAGTAGCTTTGTAATTTTGAACCC